CTAACATGCTCAATATGGATAAAGTGATTTAATACCAGGCCTCTAGCACATCCTAGACGAAGCTTCACAGAACAGTCTTACAGGCAGTAGTAGCTAACATAGATATGAGTCAATTGAATTAGAATATCATATAGAAGATGCAGCCTGTCACATGGGAGAATATGTGGCGGAAGCAAGCATGAAAGATATTTAGTATAGGCATTGCTGCTAACATCATATATAGGCCTTGGTCTGACACACGCTAAGATTCTACTAGATGTACAAGGGTTGAATCATGTATCAAAGAGATAAGAGAGAAGCTCTCCGGAACTCCGGAATTGCCTATTTGAACCACATTACCTATGTAGGCAGTAGCTTAACTCCTTAAACACCAGGGATTGTATTTATAATCGCCGGTCAAGCTTTCTAGGCCGTAATAGGCCGTTGCGGGGGATGACGGGATCGAGGGGTTTGGGAACCATAAAAGCCCTCCTCGCTCTTTTGCTATCCCCAATTCTTGATCGACGTCTATTATTTAATCATGGTTAAAGTTCTTTTGACTGGTATGTGATTTTGGTCTGCCCTCGAACTCCAATCTGACTATCCGCTTTAGGAGGCAGTGGCTTCATTGCCGCCCACATTGTCGACATTCTGCTACAGCATGAGTATGTTTAGCCACATTATTGCTTGGAGATTGAAGGTTGACGATTTAATAGTTTTGATACAGTTATTACTGTTCGATCAGATGAGAAGGGAAAACGGATTATCGAGGCTCACCCCGACGTGCCGAAGGAGAAGCTATCTTATGTGATTGTCAATGATGTAGCTAAGGATGGGGCATTTGATGAGGTAGAATATCCTTTCCCTATTAAATACATACACAACTAATTGAAATGCAACAGGCCGTCAAATCAAGCCCTCCTTTTGACTATGTTATCCATACCGCATCCCCTTTCCATTATAACGTTCAGGACCCTGTGAAAGACTTCCTTGACCCAGCCATCAAGGGAACGACCGGGATTTTAAAAGCAATCAAAGAATACGCCCCTACCGTGAAGCGAGTGGTCATCACGTCATCTTACGCGGCCATGGTGAACGGCAAGCAGCATCCCAAGGTCTACAGTGAGAAAGAATGGAATCCGTTGACGTGGGAAGAGGCGATGGATCACTCGCAAGTTTACCGTGGTAGCAAGGTAGGTGAAGTTTGATGGTCGGCAAATTCAAGTGCTAAGGCAGTTCCATACCAGACCTTTGCGGAGAAAGCAGCCTGGGCCTTCGTCGACAAGGAAAAGCCAAATTTCGATATTGCTACCATCAATCCACCACTGGTCTTTGGCCCGATCGTCCATTATCTCAACTCCCTTGACACTATCAACACCTCGAACCAGCGCATGAGGAATCTCGTCCAGGGTCAAATGAAGGAGAAAATAGCCCCAACGGGCAATTTCCTGTGGGTGGATGTGCGTGACGTGGCGCTCGCACATGTCAGAGCCATTGAAGTTCCTGAAGCAGGAGGCGAGAGATTCTTTGTCACCGCTGGCTATTTCTCGAACAAGGAACTTGCAGATATTATGCGCGAGACTCACCCCCAGTTAGAGTCTAAACTTCCCCCTGCAGACTCTCCCAGCGACTTCCCGGAAAACATCTATGGGATCGACAATACTAAGTCGAAAAAGGTTCTCGGACTCAATTATCGCCCACTGAAGCAGACAGTGTCAGACGCTGTTGATTCTATCCTAGCTGTTGGTGTTTAAACTAGAAGTTGCCTTCCATATTTTTCATTCATAGATCAAGATTGAGTCAATGAATACACATTGTAGAACAACTCCAATATCCTTGTCGGACAATTACGTATTTTAGAGCAATATTAAGTAACAGATTTTATCCAACACCAATCGCATCTTACATTTCACATATGTATGAGGAAGATAATCTACCCGGCAAAGATTGCTCGAAGATGTTGGATGCGTTGTATAGATCTAGAACTGCGGGTTGAGTCGTTGTCGCTCACCGTACCGCTTTCGCCCGTGTTCTCCGGTCAACTTTTCTCGCGGCAGCAATCCAAGATTACATAGTCAATCCATTAAACAAGATGGCCTCTGCCAGGCTGTCGCCAACGGCGAACTTGCTGCGAAAATCGCGCTTGTTCGCCCTCCCCAAAACTCTCAATGGGCCCAGTGACCCAACATTGAGGGAATCCAACACCGCAACCCTGCCTCACCCCATCCGAGCCTCGATCGTTACACCGCAATCATCACTAGCCCGAGGGGACTGGGGATTGAAGCGACCTTTACCGGCTAAGTCGACATCGGAGAAATCATCGAGACCCGTAGTCAGGTTGCACGCCCTCGATACCTATGAACATGTCACCGACTTCGAATCCGCCGCAGATCACACTGTGACCCTCGAGAAGTTCCAGGAGCTGCACATGCCTATGTCCCTTCCCTCCAAAGTCAATTATGCTACAAGTGTCGTGCCAAGGCATCAAAGTCCGTTCGAAACGCATCTCGATAACACCGAGACCAGCCAGGGTCTCCAGGAACCTGGTGCCAAACAATTCAGACACACTGGTCCTTGGCTTGCTGGGCAGACGGAGGCAGAGTTCGCAGCGTACTTGAAACAAGTGACCCGCAAGAAGCCTGAGCTCCTGCAGAAGCTTCGTGAACAATTTATTGCTAAGCGGTCTGCTGAGAAACGGAAACTAGCACAGGATAATGGAGAGGACTTGGAAGCTCGTCCTGCAACTGTCACCGATGCGGAGTTCAATGCCTATATCAAAACTCTGCGTAATGACCCATTCGCTCTCGGACCTGTGGTCTTTGATCTGCTTGACCTCGCTTCCCCCCCTGCCGTTCCTAGCGAGCGTATCGGGCGCAAGTATTACCAATCCCCTGGAACCAAGCTGTCCTCATTCGAATACGCCGTCTCAGGACCCCCGAAGACACACCCATCTGCCGGTCTGTCATACACACGATCACACGCTCTGATTCATAACCATGCCCAGTTTGGCCCACAGGCCCACCAGCGCCCCGTGGAGGCTCGCATCTTGCGCCCCAAGGGCCGATTTAAGGGACGCATGGCCCGGGCCCTCGCAGGTATTGGTGGTATTGCTGTTGAAGATCTGAATGCCATGACCTTTGTGGAGCAAGGCACACCCCCCGGTCTGACTTTCTTCGATGCGTCCATCCCTGGTGGAGGTAAATACTGGGTCACTCCCATCCGGGCTTCGATTGACTCCGAGGGCCGTATTGGCCTTTCATCTTACCGCGCGAGTGCAACCGCCAAGGCCCCTTACGGAATTGAAGACCACCACAAGCCGAGTACCTTGACCATCTCCGATGTTGCCACTGCCCCATCCCCGCTAGTCCCAAGATTGGATCGGCAGTCATTCGGCCAGCCTCGGTTCCAGCCTTCCACGGAGAACCGTCCCCGAAGGCAACCAACGAGGGGAACAGAGGACGTCGCCCGCAGCCTTCTCAACAACCTCAACTCTAGGTCATAGGGATAGGTGAAGTCTGGTTGGATGTGCAAGGGATTGTACCATGTATGATAGATTTGGTGCTTGTGTAAAGCTACTTTCATTTTTCGTTTTTGACTATGTCATATAAATCAGATGCATCAATATCATGTTATTTTCACAGCGAACATTGCAAACCCCCATTCCCCACTTAAAGGAAAATTACAAGACAATTAAGTTCAACTTGAATAATCGTACGTATATCACTTTAAGGATGATGTACTTTTGATGTGTTTGCTACCTTCCTAAAACAGCAAGCGCGGGTGCCCAGGTGGCATTAATATATTACATAATCAGTAAAGTGCCACGTGACTCCATTATTAGGGCCTAGGGCAAGGACCCGCACAGGACTAAGCGAAAGCCTGCTCTAAACTCATCCAAATCGGCACGACGACTCTCGATCTTTCGAACTTCATTCCGCCAGCCAACAACCGCCAAAATGGGTCGCGTCCGTACCAAGACAGTCAAGCGCTCCGCTAAGGTCATCATCGAGCGTTACTACCCCAAGTTGACCCTCGACTTCGAGACCAACAAGCGTATCTGTGATGAGATCGCCATCATTGCTTCCAAGCGTCTTCGCAACAAGGTGAGATTCCATACAATGGCATCGCCCTTTGAGAGACCTCCAATTCTGATTTGAATTTTTTTTTCTAGATCGCTGGTTACACCACCCACTTGATGAAGCGCATCCAGCGTGGTCCCGTCCGCGGTATCTCCTTCAAGCTTCAGGAGGAGGAGCGTGAGCGCAAGGATCAGTACGTTCCTGAGGTCTCCGCTCTCGATGTCTCCCAGACCGAGTCCGGCCAGCTCGACGTTGATGCCGACACCAAGGACCTTCTCAAGTCCATGGGCGTAAGTTTTCCCTACACAGTGCATAGCATGGAATATATCTAATATACCTTTACAGTTCGACAACCTCAAGGTCAACGTTGTTGCTGTCAGCCAGCAGCAGCAGGCTGAGCGTCCCCGCCGTTTCGGTCCCCGCTAAATCCAGCGCCCGGAATAACGAAAAAAAAAAAGTTCATCTCTGGCCTACGGTCGATCTTTGGCGGTTACCCCGACAATGTCTGTTCTGGCTGGCTTTTCGCCCGGCTAGCATGGCTTAGCTTAGTGTGGAAGGCTATTCCTGGATGAGGAATGAATAAACATGATTCTCTTTGAGAAAGGTGTCGCCGATTCTCCGCAAGGAGATGACGCTTGATTGCCATTTTTTTTTCTCTCATGTCTACCCATGAGTTAACTCTCTGGGTTGGACTATGTAGGAGTTGTTGGACTGGGGAGTACCTTGGTCTAACTGACTCGAGGCCTTTGGCAGTCTGAGTCATGTCTGGATTCATGTCTACATATCTATATGTACGTATGAGTCCTGCTGGCCAGCCTATAGCCATATATATATGGTCTCTGCGTAGATTGTTCATTACTCATTAGTCAATGTCAACATTGACCGGGTATTAGAAGTAAAACGCCGACAAGCCCCTTTGGGTCCCATAGCAACCTTACTTGGTCAGAGTTGATTGAGCAAATCCGTGTCGCCATCTTCATCCACTTTTAGTTGCTCCCTGGGCATATATCCTTCAATGGAGCCGCCATTTGCATCCTCCGGGCGCATTTGTGGGGCTACAGGAGCCTGAGAGCCACGCTGATTCTCTCTGATATCGATGTTAACGCGTCCATCCGGACGGATTCTGCTGGTATCACCGCGTTCCAACGCAAGCTCCTGGGACCGATCGCGATTTCCAAGTCCCATGTTCTGCAAATCATCCACAACGGAAGATACACTGCTAGTAGCCGCTGGTGCCTTTAAGCGCTTGGCGCGAGCTTCCTCAAGCAGTAGAATATTCGTGCCCCGCGTATCCCCGGCCCGTCGTTCCCACACAGGCTTCTCAGAAAGCTGCACTCTTATCCAAAGAGCACGCTCTGCGCATGCATCTGAGCACCACTTTTCGACGCGGTCCTCGGAAACAATATCGACGCTGCGTCCGCGCCCCCCTGGCCCGCTTCCTTTGGGGCCGTATTTAAATTGGAACCCGCCTCCTGGTCCTCTGTCTTGTTTGCGATACTTGCGAGGACATAGAGTGTATCCGCACGAGTCTTCGAAGTTTCGCTCCAGGATTAGATTGTCGTAGTCGCTGGGGCGGAATGGAGCTAGCGCGTGTTTGAATTTTATAGTATCTTCTTGGGATGGTGCGGCAGGGTCGGCTTTCGGGGAAGAGGGGAGTTCGAGGAGCTCCAGGATGCGGTTTAGGATAATATCTTCGGCGTCTTTCTGGGTCTGAATCTGTTGCGCGTGTTCCAGGGCGACTTCCAGATGCTTCTGGGTTGCGCCGGGCCTGCCTGCTAGGTATTTGTCTTGCTCTTCTTGAGTAGGGTATAGGTATGAAGGTGGGGGTTGCTGGGCATTGACAGCAGCGTATGTCTCGGGAAGAGAGGTCTTGAGAGCATGGCTTGGCCCTGACTGTGCCATAATTTTGAATTGAGACTTTGCAATATATGAAAGACAATTTTGAAAATGAGTTGAGTTGTGAGGTGAGAAATCGAAAAATGAAATAAAACTAGCAGAATTCGGTTCCAAAGCGGAAGAGGCAAAAACCCCCCCGGATCCTCAATTAAGACACTTCACTGCTGACGTAGGCTTTGGGCATCTACCTCAAGTATTGACTTTTATGTTATTTTAGGATCACTGTAAGGAGTAGCTTGTACATGTTATATACCATGTACTCAATACAATTTATATTTCTCTTTATATAAGTTCATCTATATCCACCGATAGATATACTTAACCCAATATACTTCCGTTGAAAACTAGTTAGCCTATATACATGTAAAAGCATATAACAATCATATAAACTTGAAATTCAACACATTTTCCCCCCATGTGTGTGTTCCCTGGTTGATGTTAGCCGCCGATCGTCTCCAGTGGAGCCCATTTCCCTCATCCCGCCAAGTGACGACCACCTCTCTACATCCTCCTCCCCTAATACTTTTTTTTCGTCTTTCTCACCCTGTTCTTCTTTTTTTCATATTGCATCGATTCTTTGCTGGCCCTGAATAGGGTGTTCGGTTCTCCCCGTGAGTGCTTCTGTCGTCCCTCCCCCCCTCATCTCTTGGTTGTAGGCTCCCACTCGTTGACGTCGTCCGTTTCAACTAAGCTGACACGCCATCGTACCACAAAGGAATTGATTCGTTTCGCCTTAAATATTGCTACATGCTAAACGTATTGAAGCTGGCGATTTGCTCTGTACAGATATTCTAGCGTCATTGCGTCACAGCCTCGTTTAGCATTCCTCACTCCACACCGATTATCCCAAGTCTAAACCTCGGACTTGACTTTCCAGATGTCAGGTCCGCCCTTTACGGTTCGCTCGGTCTTCGAGTATGTTTCGGACCACGATGACGATCTCAACTTCCCGATCGGTCAAATCGTGACCGTCACCGCCCTAGAGGACGATGATTGGTACTACGGTGAATACTCAGACGCCCAGGGGGTCAAGAAGGAGGGCATATTCCCGAAAAACTTCGTTGAGAAATATGAGCCTCCGGCCCCTCCGAGACCATCTCGACCCAGACCCAAAAAAGAGCCCGAGCCAGTGCCAGTGGAGTCCCCCGTGGTCGAAAGCAAGCAGGCTGAGCCCGAGCCCGAACCAGAGGTGCAGCCCACAGAGGAAGATCATGAGATTACATCTTCGCAGTCGCCTCTCCCCCAGTCTCCTCCTCTATCTGCGAGTGCGCCTATAGCAGAAGCTGTATCCCCACCCTCGCAGCCGGCAAAGGCGCCCGCTCCCGTACCTCCCGTGGCCCCAACTGAATCCGCAGCCAAGGCACCCTCAAAACCTGCGCCTCCAGCCGTAGCGGAGAAACCCTCGGGGTCGTCGTTCAGGGATCGCATTGCTGCATTTAACAAGCCCGCAGCAGCACCCGTTACCCCGTTTAAACCGGGCGGTTCCCAGCCATCCTTCGTCAAGAAGCCTTTCGTCGCACCACCTCCTAGCCGGGACGCCTACAAGCCTCCACCGAGAGAACCTGCACCCAAGATCTACAAAAGAGACGAGGATCCCGATGTGAAGGAACAAATTGCCCGCGAGCCCCCGGTTTCTGAAAGCCGGCCTGCTCCGATTCAAGGCGGCGAAGAGGGCGCCGAGGACCAGCCCAAGCCAACTAGTTTGAAAGACCGAATTGCATTGCTCCAGAAGCAGCAATTAGAGCAAGCTCAGCGTCATGCCGAAGCAGCTCAGAAGAAAGAAAAGCCCTCCCGCCCTGCTCCTAAGAAGTCAATGGATGAACCTGTTGCTCCTGCAGCCCTTGATGAGGAACAGGAGTCACCGTCTGTTGAAGAATCGTCGGCCGCCCGAGATCCTAGTGTTGATACACTGAGGGCCACGGCTCCTTCACAGCCTGCTGCTCCGTTCTCGCCCACACAAGAAGTCGCGAGTGACGCCAATGATGCCGACTACTCGGCTGCTGCGGACTCCGAAGATGCAGGTGAAACGTCCACTGGTAAGGATGATGAGGAAGATGAGCCTCAGCCTCGTCCCGTCGCCCAGCGTCAACAGTCGACTCGCACAGTCGAGCAAACTGCTGAGGCAGATGCTGAAGATCAGGGCAATGCAGAAGAAGAGGAGGAGGAGGAGGAGGAGGAAATGGATCCTGAAACCAAGCGCAGAATGGAACTGCGCGAGCGGATGGCCAAGATGAGTGGCGGCATGGGTATGATGGGTCTCTTCGGCCCGCCTGCCGGAGGTATGCCAGGCATGTCTGGTGCCGGTGGTGTTCGCAAGCCCAAGACTCCCGGTGAGTCAGAGAAGAGGCTTGCAGAGCCCGAATCTGAGCCCACCTCCCCGGCCAATGCCCCCCCAGTGCCTATGATTCCCCTCCCTGGAATGCACGTGGCTAGCAAGCCGGTACCTTCTTCTACTGAAGTGGAGAAGGAAGTGGAGGAGCCTTTAGCAACTCCACTCACGGAACAACACTCTGCACTCGAGACGCCAGACGTCGAGGAGGTCATCCACGAGGGTGCGCTGCCTCGTGCTTCTATTGATCGTCCGGTCCCGGCTCCCCCATCCCAAGGTAAGATATTCTCCCGCAGCCTAATGCAGGATTTCAATTCCTGATGTTCGCAGATCATTCGGCTCCACCTCCACCTCCTCGAGAGTCAAGGCCCGTCCCGACTGTTCCAGGTGAGCCACCGGCTTCCCCTCCGCCAGTTCCTGGAGGTGAGTACCTTAGACCCCGAAACAAGTTACTTGACCTGGGGTTGACCATGATACACAGCCCGACCGGTTCCTCCTCTACCACGGCCCACCACTGCCGATAAGGGTGACGAGTCCGATGATGAATTGTCGGTGCACACATCTAGTCTGTCTTTGAATACCTCAGCTGCTCCACCAGCTGTGCCTGCACCTGCGATACCTGATCAGATTGACTCTCGCCGTGCCGAAACATATGACCCCGTGCCCTCTACGGCTTCAACCCCTGCAGCTGAGAAGAGAGCTAGCCGTGTACCACCTCCTATTCCTGTCAATCCACCCATGCCACCATCGTCGCAAGGCCGCGCTCCCCCTCCACCGCCTCCGGATCAGCTTCGTCGCCGATCTACCGCTGATAGTCGCATGAGTGCGTTGTCCCCTGCTCGACAGGCTGGAGAAGAAGCGGAAGGAGAGGTTACTGAATATGATGGAGATTACGACACTGATATCGCATCGGGAGTGAAACACAAGGATGCTCTGAAAGCCCACGAACGTGACTCCAGTCTTGACGAGGGTATTACGACCGATGACCATTCTATTCAGTCCCCGCGCAGCCCCCAGGAATCCCGGCATCCCCCTCCTCCTCCACCTACGGCTCCCAGAGCAGTTCCGCCTCCGCCCCCAAACCAGCCGCCCCGAAATGCACGTGCGTCTATTGACACACCCAGGGGGCCGCCTCCTCCTCCCCCGCCCCGAGAGCTAGTTAGCGATGACGATGATGTTGAGTATGACCCTTTCAACTACTCCGCTCCCCGACATGGTCTTCCCACATCTCCGCCCCTCCCGCACGGCCGCCCAGAGGCTCCTCCTCCTCCCCCACCGCAACAAGCAGCCGATGGATACGACGATCTCTATGATGCACCCCCTGTACAAAGCCCGGTAAAAGAAAGACCCTCCCCTTTGCATGAGAAGCGTCTTTCACTGGCTCCTCTGCCTCCGCAAAGCCAGGCTCCGGGGTTGCCATCTCCGTCCACAGCCCGAACCCAGCGGGCATCTATGGATCTTCTCAGAAATCAGCCTAACGTTCGTCGGTCTATGGATGTTTCTCGTCCATCTATTGACCAAGGCTACCAAGGCTACATTGCCACTGATGTTGATTTCGCCGAGTATACCCTCTGGTGGACCAAACCAAACACTCCGCCTCCAGCTTTCCAGAATCGCAGTGATCTGCTTTTCGAGATCGAGGAAACCGCATCCACGAACCGCGGTGGCAAAACTACAGTCTCGAAGGATGTATACATCCTGTTCCTCGATTACTCTCAGACAGTCTTGAATGTTCAATTCGACCCTAAGAACCCTGCGGATGTTTCCTTCGAGCAGCGTCATGAACCCCCGCCGCTCCCGCTTCGCCAGGACCAGCTTGAGCAGGCCCATATTCAGCTCGGAACGCGAATCTCGGAAGCTGTCAACTCGATCCAAAACTCTACTGTTGGGGATGGCACTCCGTTCGGGCTGGTCCAGTATCTTCTCAGCCCTCTTTCCGACGCACTACTTCCCGTGGGGACCCGCGGATATGGTGCCTCGGTTTATTCCAACCTAGCCAATGCCTCTGTGACTCAGAACGACGAAATCCGCGCCGGTGACATTGTCAGCTTCCGCAACGCCCGATTCCAGGGCCACCGCGGCACCATGCACCAGAAGTACAGCGCGGAGGTTGGAAAGCCCGACCACGTTGGCATCGTGGTCGATTGGGATGGCACAAAGAAGAAGATCCGAGCCTGGGAGCAAGGCCGCGAGAGCAAGAAGGTCAAGATGGAGAGCTTCAAGCTAAACGACCTCCGCAGTGGCGAATGCAAGGTCTGGCGAGTGATGCCCCGTAGCTGGGTGGGCTGGGAAGCCAGCAAGTAAATGGATGAAAGGATTCCGGTTTGAGAATTCGACCTTTTTGTTGCAGCTATTGCGCTATGAGCAGACGACCCTTTCTTTTGTGTTTCTTGATTTCCCCTTCTAGATTGGATGGGATCATGTATGAATGAAAAGGAGCCTCCTTTCTCCCCCTGTCTTCTATATTCTTCTTCCTTTTCGCTTTACTTGTCCTGCTCCCTTCTTGTGAATCATCTGGACTTAGTGTGGTAATTTGAGATGGAGAATGGTGGTCCCTTTCTGATGGAGAATTGAGCGAGCGTGCAGCTTTTCGTTTTTTTGTCAATGGTACATCTTGCATGATTCTATCCGAGCAAACTATGAGATACTATCCTCAACCTTTTGCTTTGTCGCAAAATTGTCACGGCTTATTTGTAGATAAATATCCCATGTTGGAAAGTATTGTATTAGGCGACGCTAATATATGTTTACTTAAAATTCACGCTTCATTAGTTCCTACGGGTATTGGACATGTCTAAGCACAAACTACGTCCTTTTTTCAGAGGTTATACATCGAAAAGTCGTTTGCACAAAGCCTCTTTCCACTCTTTTTGCCATCGACCTATCTAAGAAGATCCTTACCGTGTTCGCCATCACCCACATCGAAAACCTGGCAGAAGCCATCGATGAATCCGAGATAAGCAATGTTCCACTGCCAGAGTACATTAATGGGGGTATCGCTTTATTGTCCTCCCACTGCAGGGATTCTGTCCGGATGATGATATCCTACTCTTCCTTTCGCCTGGATCGGATAAACAATATATAATCAACAACAACCTCGAAGTTGCCTGGTACCTCTCAGCGTGCATTTATTACCACAATCAAACCAACAACACCTTCATCGAATGAAGTCTCATTCGACGAATAGTTTGCCTGGAACCCGAGCTTGGATACCAATATCATCAGCACTTGCACTTTAGATCCGGCTCACAGCTACTGTGTCCTGCGGTATCAGAACAGTACGGGTAAGTACCAAATCCTCTCTTCTATACTTCCTATATTCTGGCACTAATATGAATAGAAATAGCACCTAGCTTCATCTGGACTGACTGTATGCCAACTAATGCCACCGAGCCTGATACGATCGCTAACTGCAATTGTTTTGGCACTGTTGATGGATTTGATGCTGAAGGTAGCTATGCCGCAAGCTATGCGTACAGCTTCTCTAGCTTGGCCAGTGCATATGTAATTTTATTCAGATGCTAACCGAAATCCAGTCTACACATGCAGTATATTGATTTCTGACTACAACATAACAATGGCTGAATTTGTCCTAGGGATTTCATGGCTGACAGGGGACTGCGATACGACCCTTTATGCCAACCTCGACGAGACTGAGACACGGGCTTTCTGTGTCGGAACAGGGACCACCACTACCTTGTCACCAAGTACAGCTGTGACTGGTTCCGCAAGTAAGACAACTACTTCAGAAGGAGCACCAGCCGGGGTTGTTACAGAGGGACCGTCCTCTTCGATAACTGCTATTGCTACCGCTATTAGCTCTATTGCACTCACTTAAACTGGAACTGCCCCGAACTTTAATACTACAATGTTATCAAGGATGACCCTTGTGTAAAGATTGAAACATCCTATGATATCACGTTCGCCAAGTTGTATATAGCATAGATAGAACCTGGCTATCAGAGGCAATTGCCAAGCACATGAAGTGGGTCTTGTAGTGTGTTATACAACATACATCCTTGATTTCTTGATCCTTGATATGTATGTCTCTAGAGGCATCAATAGAGATAATGCGAGTCAGGTTGTCGAATACTAAGACTGAATACCCCGTGAATGTGAACTCACATGTGATGCCCATGTGACTGCATGCACGAAGCATGCCATACAAAGTGTTCAGGTGCATATAGCCCTGTCAAGGTTGTATGGAGTAATTAGGGCTTACGGGGGACTACGGAGGGGGTATAAAGGTTATAAAAAGGGGGCTAAACCAATAAGCTCAATTCCTTGTGTGTTCTAGAATCCAACGCGTCTGAAGTAAATTAATACAAGTCCACTCTAAAGTTTTCTCTGATTAAGGATCGAACAACCAAACTCAACTGTCAACTCCACCAACACAGCCGAGTAAAAGAGCGCCTCAAAGTCCAACTAGGCATCCGAATATGATGGCTGTACCCGATACCCGTGGGACCTCAGGCTAAATCATCGCTTACGAGTACAGAATAGCCAATGGGCGGATCCTGGTTCCGCCTTGGCCATACGACACATCGAGAGAATTGGGGCTGGCCCGGTCTCAGCAATCCTTCACTGGTAAGGGAGGGGGAGGAGGGGGGTTCTCCAATTATAATATTCGTTCATTTCTTTTTTTCTGTTGAGTTTCCGTTGGTTTGGTGTACGAAGTACGGAGTACTATGATGGATGTTCCTTGACCTCGTACATCGGATATTGATGTTTGTGATCGGTTCCTGAATTCCGAGCTAATCGTGAGTTATCGGATATCAGATTTTTCTTTGCATTCAATGTTCTTAAAGCATAGATCATGCAAGGTGACAATGTAGTGACATGTGTACTCCGTACAGGGACGGGGTAATAGGTATGGCACATTATATTTAGAACTTTTTCAGACAATTGACATGTCCAATGTCGGAGATTTCTTTTCCTTTCTTTTTTTTATTAAAAAAAATCGAATTTTTCGGCCACGAGGATTTGGTCCCACAGAGTGCCCTGGATGCTTTCCGGTAAAGTGCCTTATGTTAGAAAGCATTGTATATCTAATTTAATGGTACTTTAAACTTGGGATTTAAAATGTCAGTGCAAAAAAAAAAAAAAAAAAAAAAAAGAATGGAAGTGTTCCAAGGTTAAATTAGTATATCCACATTGGGACTAGTCAGGGGCATACCAAAACTGGACGGTTTGCCATTTCTTTTTTGAAAGGGCTATACGATTTCGGTAGTCAACTTCGTTTCAAAAGCTTGTAGGACCCAAACGGCTGTCAAGAAAGATGCGCTAAAGAATTTTGCTCCTTTTTTTCTAATATTCTTACTTTTTTTCTATTCTATTATTGTTATTATAGAAGTTCAATATGAACTATAAAAAATTTGGAGGACTCTGGACTTTATCTGGGCTTCTACCATGGTTCAGCCTCTGAACCATTTAGGAAGTTGGAAGCCCGTAGAGTCTGCAGTACGGAACATTCATGGGCCTATTATGTGCAGACTTACAGCCTCATATTGTGGCTTCGTTTTTCATATTTCAATGTATTCGACATATTGCAGATGAGCTCAACGAAATTTCTACAACATACATTCTAACTTTATTGCACCGCATGATTACATAATACCACGGAAAGGTCCATGGGTACAGCATATGCCCAGATCGCGGCCATCTGCCTCCATGTTGTTCTACCCCAGGGTTAACAATGAAGTTTCCTTGCATTCTAAGCAAGGACTACAATGCTTAGGTACTCTGTAGTGTGACTCTGATATTTCTTTTTGATACAGATTGGACACCTGAGCACCTTCCAGATCAAAATCCTCCTCCGTTCGGAATGAAGCAATGGGGCGACGATCTTGGTGTTTCCCGTGTCCAGCCCACCGGAACTACCGAGTGTATTTTTTTTGCCCTTACGGAGTCCCCCGGTTTCAGGAAAACACGAGATCGAATGTCTCGAAGGGAATTGGCCGCAATTAAGTCAGACCTATCCAGTTAGGGTGGCGTTCCGCCCCAGGTTCCAGTGAGAAGATGTGATCCTTGACATTTTAATATCTTACGCAAGGGGGGTGAAAATTGATTACAGTAATTTTGTGAGATTGGATGTTCTCTATGGAGGATCTGGACTATTTTTTTTAAGTAACTGGTACCATACCATACGTACATTGGACCATGGATGCAGTCTCGGGAAGCCCCTGCTTCACAAAGATGCAGTACAACGTAAACATTTGGAGGTAAATAAAAACATATACAACATACAAATACTATATTATATACAAATAACTATGCTATATTAAACAGTTGATCTAAAAAAAAAAAATATAATATATCCTTAATATTGATCGACTGGTGGACACTAATTTAGGACGATCATCTAGATCCCTCTTTTTACATTTTTTTTCCTGGTATGCCGCTAAGAGAGCCTTGGGGGAGTAACAGTTCTGGATCCATTGCAAATCTCCCCTCTCGCATTCTTCGCGTCAATTTCCCCATCGTTTCTTTTTGAATTTCTTTCTCGACCAACTTTACCTGCGTTTTATTCTTATGCTGTGATCTGTGAATCCCCGCTAAGTACTTTGGCCTTGGATCCAGACCATTCATAGTACAGAGTACACGGCTTGAACTTGGAATTCCTTGCACTCTTTTTAGACATTCCCTGACCTCAATCTGCACTTGTCGTTGCACTTGAAGGTCATGCCGCTCATTTCTTTCTTTGGATAAGGATATCCAGTGAGTCACTTTGAAGGCATTGAGCCAGAACTGGGACACTGATCAACTCTCAAGCTACTACACTCGCTAAAACTATCGACATTCATTCAATCTTATATTACCCAGTCGCATTCCTTTCCTACTACGAGGCCTCTGAGCGCCTCGAAGACTACCATCCATGATGAATCGATTCCGCAAGCACAAGAAGGCGAAGGAGCCTGAGGACCAAGAAGGAGCCTCATCGGGATTCAGTCTGAAGCCATCGAAGAAGAAGGAGACACCAGAACCCACACCCGATTTCGACCTATCAGCCGCATTGCCCTCGACAGACAACTTCCGAACTAGTCTGCTAATGCCTAAGCTATCTGCTCGATTTAGCATGCTGAAGGAACAAGATGACCCACAGTCAATGCTAGGCAAGGCCAGTGACGATAGCGTTTTGTTTCCCAAGCGCGCTTCGCGACTCAATTTGTTCGGTCACAGCCCCGCGATGCTCGCCGATATTGACGAAGTTTGCTCTAATGACGGTAGCCGACCCTCCCTTGCACTCGACCGCACTTCTTTCGCCTCCGGTAGGGATGGATATGGTACAGACGATGATCGCTCTCAGGGGGGTAGTATGATGAGCAGAGCCCGCCGCGCGGAGGGCAATAATCTGTTCGGAGGTCGCCAAAAGATTTACAAGATCCCGGTCAGATCCCCAGTTGGAACAACCCCCGATGCGCCAGAGAGTGGGAACCGGACCATGGGAAAGCCGATATACGAGAACGACATGAACCTATCTGCCTTCCAGCGATTGCGCCTCAAGGAGAAGGAAGAGAGGACGGCGGAGGCCATGCGGGAATCTGGGTATGCAGCCTCAACCGCTTCGTCTAATAGCCGAGCCACGTACTCCTCCACCGCGTCTGGACCCCTGTCAACAGTTCCTACATCAACTGCAGCAACCTCGGCCGACGAGTCACCGTCGAATCCATCCCAATCTCCAGTGACTGGTTATCCGTTCCCGGAAACCGTTCATGAGGCCCCCCGACCTGGTCTCGGGATGTCTACCCCGCGCAATGGCTCAATCCGTAGCCGTCGTCTCTATGAACAAGGATTGGCCCAGGCTGCTCAGAACCAGCAGAACTCGGCCTTGAACCGCCTGGAGAGTCTGAGTCGCCAGCGGGCCGGCACTCCCGACCTCCCCTCTTTGAACCGCAACTACTCCAGAAGTGCCACTAACCTGCGAGGCCGCCTCCAAAAGCTTGCAATTGTCGAGCCGCCTTCTACCTCACAGCCGACTAGCCCCCCTTCGTCAGCAACGTCACCGAAGCCCCGCATGTCCGGAGAACCTGCGCTCCAAGACCGTCTCTCGCCCACAGCCGCAACATTTGGGGCTCCTCCCCTGAGCCCACCGACAAGCGAAAACGACGAGGCTTCCTCGCTTTTGGCGGCATCGCTTCACCCAGAAGATCATGGAAAGGCTACTGCCATGGGCTTGTTTAGCCGGCCTACCACTGGTTTCGACGAGCAGGCCTTCTCCCGCCGCCAGCTTCAAATGCACCAGGGACGAGAGACTCCGCCTCCGCGCCGTGCATCACCTCCGCGCCGACCTCTGCCCGCAGAGCCCGTAGGCCGTGTTCGGGGACTGTCCAAGTCCAGCTATCGTTCCCGAGCAGGGTCCGCGTCCTCTCACTACAGCAGTGATGCGCATCGCGGCATCGATCATTCTTGTGCGTCCAGCGTTGAGGCTTCTCCTTTTAGACCTGGGGTGAGGACTTTTTGTGCCAACTCAAGCGCGAGCGAGTCTGGCGATGAAGGAGAGAATCCCTCTTCGCGCGGAAACCCATCTGCGGCTTCGCCGGCTACCGAGTACGGCCCCCCACTTCAGCACTCCAGCGTAACACCTAACAAGTCAAGTGCCACAAAGGATCACCTTGAAACACTCCCTGAAGTGAGATACTCCGATCTAGGCGACCTTAGACCAATCAACGAGAATGACCTTGATTTCGCAATTTCATCTTCTGAAATTAGCGATAACACACCCAAGAGACCTGACTCGCCAACCCTGCAACCAGAGCATGGCTTCGGAATGGGGGGAATGATTCGATCTCACTTGCGCCAGGAAAGTGACAGATCTGCCATCTTGCCTCCTTCACCTCTCCAGAACGGTAGCTATGCCGGTAATATCGCGGCTCAGAGATCGAGCCCCCAACCACCGACCTCCCTTCCCACGATCACACACCCCACCGATAAGAGCCGGCCATCATCAGAAACCCGACCAGGAACTGCAAGCTCGCAGTCTCCCTCTAGACATTCTGCGGAGGGCACGGTTTCCCGAAACAGCGTAGAGTCATCCGCACCTGGAACAATTCCCGACACAGCTTCCGTATCGAACACCCCCTCCTGGAGAGAGGAAATAGAACTTCATCATCGTCGTCATGGGAGCACCGAGACCCAAAAAGAGCGAGAGGAATTCGCCATCGAGCTGGCAGAGAGGCGTAGAAAGGTGCAGGAGAAGCTGCGAAGTGTTGCTGAGAACGAAAGCCGCTCGAGCAGCCCCACCCCGGGCCGGTCAACTCCAGACTTGTCCCGGGCAGGTAACGCATTCGCCATGTTGAAGCACAAGTCTAGTAAACAGGGCGGCGGAAAGCCGGATCAGAAGAAGCTATTCGGCTATGTCGGTGGTAATGCGTCCACCCCTGCTCTCTCTTCAGATGACTCGTGGCGTGAAGAGGAGAGGCCCTCTTTCAACTTTGGCCGACACTCCAACTCGAGCTCTCCCCACATTGGATCAGAGCGTTCGCTCAGGTCTCGTATGCCATCCTTGAGCCGCGACAACAGCCACGGAGACTCGCGCGAGTCCAGCCGCAGCCGTGGCCACTCCCCGTTCCGAGACCAGAGAGATCGTGCAGGCTCGGATGCATCAGGCCGGTCCAAGAGTCGAACCAGACTTCGCGAACGGGATGACCTTGAAACTGTGGACGAGGGTTCAATCATTGCACATGAAAGATTCGTTGTTCCTGAGGGCTCTGAGCCTCCCATGCCTACGTCAGGTCGTCCATCAGCAGAAATGTCTGACTCTGTGAACTTTGACCGCGCTTCCTCTGCCGCTTCGGGCAGACATCGCAGTACTAGCCGATCCAACACGCCCAGCTTCCAATACGAGCGGCCATTCCAGTTTTCACAGTCCAACACGTCCTCGATCATCGGTGCCTCGCCCCGGCCCCCACCTGCCGCCCCGGCCTACTCTGCCAATGCCACGCCTCCGCTGAACGAAATGCCGGAATACAGCTCGTCCACATCCCTAGCCTCTGCATCCAACAGCTCGCAGCTTCCCCAACGTGGTTTGGGACATGGTTCCCTCTTGAAACGGCCTGTGAACAAGAAGCAGATCTCGGAGCCTACCTTTGTCTCATCCACATCAGATGTCCCTCTCGTCGGTCTCCCTCCCGGATCCGCGCTGCCTTCATCCAGCGGCGCACCTCCAGTTCCACCTATGAACCCACGCCGTCGCCGCGGGACCGCCACCCAAACCATCTTGGGCGCCTTTAAAAGCGACAAGAACGACCTGTCGCGGGTAGCTTCCCCCGTCCCGAGCCCCGCGGAAGAGCAGAGTGGCTTCCTAGATGATGAAAAACGTCCGCGCTCCCGCAACCGTCTCCGTAAAACTTCAAGCGAGAACGGTAATCTGCATGGACGATCGCGTCAGGGATCCATGCATGGCTCCCCGCCAGCTGTTCCTCAATACCCACCTCCTGCTATCCCCGTCGACGGAGGCATGTTCTAATCATCTCTTCCCTTCCAACTCTTTTATACATTCACCTCGCCTTGACCTAGGCTTTCCTTATTCCCTTGTTGTCTCATACCCTACTACTCTACCTGCCATTCCCTACACACCCCCTTTCCGGGCATTTTCTTTTCTTTTCTGTCCCATCTTTCCTTCTGGGCTGTTTTATCATCATTTCTGCTGTGACGACTAGATACCACTCGGTGCATTTGAGCGTCCCATGTCTACTTTCCATCTTTTCTTTCTTTTCCTTCTGTGACAGGCACTTGTGAGCTGAATTTTCATCGACGTATGTACCCTATTTGTTTCAATTTCAATGGATACACCACTCGCTATACCAGCTGTTTATGATTTTGTAGACTCCTACGCAGCGGTATAGTGGCCGCTCTGTACAATCAAAAGTTGTACGTAAAAAGGCCCTTTTCCCCGTCGACCTATCTAAACAAAATGATATCTGAAAGACTACTGAAACGACATTACAAGCTTATGCGGCCAACTATTCTTATATATTATAAACTGACAAATACGAAAATAGAGCTTTTGGCACTAAAGACATAATAAAAATAATATCTTCAATCTATCTGCTTTACAAAAAAAAACTTCATATCTCATATAACATAATCAGGCATCGATCACCAAGGGCTCAGAGCGACAACCCGACAGCTCCTGAACAGCAGCGGCCAACTCATCAAGAGCGGCATCCACAAACGTTGCGTCCCTTTCACTTCCAACAAATCCAACATGCATCTTCCCACCGCGCACAAACGAGACAGCTTTCAAGGGATAAGCGGCATCGCCATGTGGGTTTGAAATATCAACCTTGCAAGAAGATCCAGCGAATGGCATGTTATCGAAATCATCCCAGTCCTGGTGATGGACAATCGAGTCAAAGGATCGTGCCTCCGATGACCACTTTGCGCACTCCTTTGAGATCTTGTCGAACCCGAGGAAATCGTGCGCCGCAGACTCGGCGCTCTGTGACTGCACAAAGCGCAACAGATCCATCGCCGTCCACTGGGGCTCGAACTTCACTCTGACAGGAGTGAGTTGGTAACAGGGACCCATAACGTTCTCCACGTTTGCTAGGTCGATCGTTCGGCCTGAGGTCACCGTGCCGAATGTCACATCGGGTTTTCCTAGACGACGGGCGAGTACCAGTGCCCACGCTGCGGTGAGCACGTTTGCCGTCGTGATCTCCTGGACAGGCTGGAATCCTTCAACCGCCTTCTCGTGGAATATGGCTTTGTCTGTGGGCTGGGCCGAGGCTCCGTAGAGCACAGACAGTGTCGAGTCCTTAAGCAGATCGCCCCAGTAGTTGATTGCCTGGGTCTGGAGGCGTCCGTCGGAAACTCGTGCCATATACGAGGCAAATGGCTCAAAGTCCACAACCTCGCCTCCGGCATACAGGGTCTCCAAGTCTTGGAGTAGTCTGGGGAGGGAAACACCATCATACTGGGCATGTGAGAGGCCTAGCACTAGGCAGTGTTTTCCGTCGGTGCCTTGGACATGGAAGATCTTGAGGAATGGTGATCCAAGCTCGAAGTTTGACTCGATGTCTGTTGTGCAGAGCTCGGTGACGTATTGCTCAATCTCCTTGTCAGCCTGGTGCATAACCACAGGGGCATGTGCGTCTTGGAGGACAACTTGAAGGAAGGACGATCCATGTTCGATGAAGACAGTGCGTAGAATATCGTGGGTCTTGACTAGGTCTGTGCAGGCGCGTAGCAATTGCTCGCGATCGATGTTTTGGTCGAAGTACAGCATGGTGTATTGGATTGAAGTGCGTGGTACTCCAATGGTTCCTCTGATGTCGAGCGCTTGCGAATCTGTAACTGGAGACACATCAACGATGGGCCAGCCTGGGTTAGCAAGCTTGGGCCGGACGGCCGAGGACAAGAACAGCTTGACATCTAGATCGCTCAGCGTGGAGAAAGGCTTGTATGGCGTGGCGCTTTCCTTCGCTTGGTCCACCTTTAACACCTTGGCTGCATCGCCAAGACGCATGTGTTGGAAGATATCGGCCACTGACAAGCTGTGTCCCTGTGTGCGGAGACTGGACACCAATTTCATTGCCAAGACTGAGTCGCCTCCAAGACGGAAGAAGTTATCGTCGACGTCAATCTGCTCCGGGCTCAACCGGAGGATGTTCGCCCAAGCGGATTGCAGGATCTTCTCTGTGGGCGATAGATTTGTATGCGCCAAGCCCTTTGTCCATGCCTCTTTGAAGCCCCCACGAAGCTGTTCAAGAACACCTTGCGGGATCTTCGAGGCCAATTTGTTGAGAGACGTGTGGTCCAACTGTTCCAATTCAGCGGGCAATTTGTCAACCACAACATATGCAGAGGGGGCCATGTAGGATGGCAGTGAGTCTCGGATGAATTTGTCAAGCTTCTTCAATGACACGGCAAGAGAAACGGAAATAGTATCGCAGATAGTCGTCTCCTCTCCAATCATCTCGTATTTCGCCGGCATGACTCTTACACTGTCTTCCTGAGAAAGCTGACTCTCGATGAAAACAGCAAGCTCTTGCTCAGTCACTTTCTGAGTGCCTTCTCTCAACGGCTGGAACACAGACGCAGCGGCGCGAGTTCCTGATGGAAGATGTTTTGCGAAATGTGACTCGAGATCTGCGATGTCCACTGCATGTCCTTGAAGGGGTACAACATTCTCCTTGCGGCCAATAAATATCAGACTTCCATCATCTTGAAGCTGGACCATGTCACCTGTAGGCTGAACATTTCCTGATCGGCCAGCACATTCAGAGCTTCCTGCAGCGAGCCAGGCAGGCAATTTGACAGTTTCCCCGGAGAGGCAAGCCCCCTCAAGCCAGAGCTCGCCAACACTGCCGATGGGCGACAACAAATCAGGATTGCGAGCATCACACACCCAAGGAATAACAGCACGAGGATAGACCGATCCTTGTTTGGTGCTTGCATAGGCGCGAAGGTTGCCAGAGGCTTCGTCCACTGAAAGTGGAGGAGCCTGGTTCCATTGCCAGATTTGGTTCAGTTCCGCTTCGGGAAGGCAAGAGATCTCATCAATGCGCTTGTCAAGGCCCTTGGACAACTGCACGCAAGCGGTTTCCAACTGCGCAAGGATCCGCTGCATTTGCGAACCCTCGATCAGGCTGCTGTCGAAACTGGCGCAAACCCTGAGACCCCCCTTGCGGATTCCAAAGGCTACCATGAGCGGATATGGGTTGAAATGAAGCGCCTCACGGACAACATCTCCAAGCTCAAACCCGAGATCGCTACCCACGTACTCGGGATCGGGCTGGATGACCAGACCGGTGCCAGCTTCGCATGCATACTGCGCATCTTGGCTGACCTTTCTGATGTTCTGCATACCCATGTGCTGGTAGGGTGTGCGAGCCAAGATGGTTTGCTGTACCGTCTGCAAGTACGATTCGACTGAGCTGGACCGGCGGACCTGGATGCGGATGGGGATTGTTGCGATCAGTGGTCCGACGATGCTCTCCACGCCCGGCAGGGAAATATCACGACCAGTGAGTGTCTCACCGAATACGACATCGTCGCTTCCAGTGTATTGGGATGCAACGAGCGCCCATGCACCGCGGATCAATGTAGCCATCGTGAAAGGTGATCCGGCACCTGTCTCGAGGGAAATTTGATGCTCGATCAGGCCATTGGGAGTTGGCATGAAGTCGCGCGAGGGCAAGCGGGGGAATTGAGGCCCGACAGCGCCCTTCAACTCCCGTCGCCAGAAGTCATGCATGGCGGTCTCGTCTGTATCGCGTACATACTTGACAAAGTTCCGCATCTGTGTCTGGATCGCGACGGATTGGTTCTGCAAGGCATCGCTGACTTGCTTGAGAACGATTGGCTCTGACCATCCGTCGTAGAGAACGTGGTGGACAGTCCAGACCATATACCGCTTGTCATCATCTGCATTGCTGACAAGGCCATACCGAGCTAGGCTTTGTCCAAGGTTCATCCTCTCGTTTCGGTCATTCTCGAGATATTGGTCTAGGTCGGTGGAGTACCTCCAGGAGACACCTTCCTTCACAACAATTTGCTGAAGGCCTGGGTCCTGGAGCGGGGCCAGACGAGTTCGCAGGATAGGGCTTGCTGCAACAACATCCTCCCAGGCTTTCTTCCAAGCATCCAGGCTGATATGAGACGGAATACATGCGACTCTCTGAGCAATGTACGCCTTTGTCGATTTGAGCGAGAACGTGAACAATGACTCCTGTGTGGGTGTGCAGAGGTAGATATCTTGTACATTTTCTTGATCCACTCCACAAGCTTGTGCTGCCTCGAGGCGCGCGCTCTCCACAGATTGGGAGATCAAAGAAAATGCCGGGATCTCTTCCTGTACTTGAGAGGTGCAAGGCTGGACGACGGTGGCCATCGCCGAGAGGGTAGGGTTTCCGAAAGTGCTGATGACAGAAAGATCGAGATCTTGCGTTCTACAGACAGACACGAGTCTCATCGCTGCCAAGGAATCACCACCTAGTGCAAAGAAGTTGTCATCGGGACGAATAGCTTCTGCGTCGAGTTTGAGTGTCTCGGCCCAGGCCTGTCGCAGGCGCTTTTCAACCTCATTCAGTTCCCGAGAAGCAGTGCTTGCAGCTCCTTGGTCTAACTGGCGCAAGTCAACTGTCGCGCCAAATGCTCGGAGTTGTTTACGATCAGTCTTGCCTGAAATCAACACTGGCATGACATTAACTGGGATATATGTGGTCGGCACCATGTATCGCGGCAAAGTTTTCGCCACATCCGCATTGGCTTTGGTCAATATGCTGTTTAGCTCGCTTGAGAGCTCGTCCAAGGCAAGCTCTGCCTGTCCATGTCCCTTTGGCTGGAATGCAACGAACGCGACGAGCATTGGCTGGCCTCCATAATCCTTGGGGTTAATCACCTCAGCAATGACATTAGCTTCTGAAGGCAGAACAGCCTTCAGCTGACTCTCGATTTCCCCCAATTCGACACGCTGTCCGCGCAGCTTGACTTGAGTATCCTTTCGTCCAACGAAAACGATACCGCCAAGACCGTCGGGGTCATATCTTCCAAGATCTCCAGTCTTGTACAGGCGGCCCCGACGACCTGCGTAATCTTTGTGACCAGCGATCAACCAAGGTGGATCATTAATGAAAGCAGCAGCGGTCTTCTCCGGGTCGTTCAGGTAGCCCTGTCCGACAATCGGGCCCTCGACGAGCAGCTCGCCTACAGCGCCGACTGGCACAAGCTCATTATGATCATTCGGATTGGCAATCCACATGGCTGCACCGTTTCCTGGGCCAATGGACAGGTAATCTCTTCCAGTAGCAGCGCTGCTATTGACTGTGCATCCAATGGTACACTCGCAGGGACCATAACCAATAATGATTCTGGTGTCTTTGCCCCAATTGTTGGCATCTCTTGCCGAGACTGCTTCACCTCCGAGACCGAGCCCGTCGAGCGACGCAATGACATCCGCGTCCAGAATTCGGCCCACTGAGGGGGTTAAACCTGCGTAATTAATTCGCATTTTGCGGATAACGTCGTTGATATCGTTCAGTCGATCCTCGTCGGATGGAATGCAGAGACAGCCACCATTTCCGAGTGTTAAAAGCATACTGTCAATGCTAACATCGAAAGCATAGGATGCAAAGTCAAGAACCCTAGACTCTGGCGTGTATCCAACTGCCTTTGCTCGAGGAATTGCACTGCTGGTATAGGTTTCGTGGGAGATCTTCACTCCCTTCGGAGTGCCCGTGCTGCCAGAGGTGAAGATGATGTACATAAGGGCGGAGGATGGTACAGCGGGTAAGTCGGAGATTGATGGAGAGTGTGATGGATTTGTGAAAGCTTCTTCTTCAACGACGAAGTGCTTTCCGGTAGGCATGATCGTCAGCGACAGCTCATGCTGCCTGCGGGACGAAACCATCGCCTTTGCGCCGACCTGTACCGCCATGTTTTGAAGACGGGCAAGAGGAAGAGTTGGATCCATAAGCGCAAGAGTTGCACCTGCTTTCATTACTCCGAGCACAGCGACGATCGTCCACCTGGACTTCTCAAAGCACACAGGGACGACATCGTGCAGCTCGACCCCCATTTCCTTGAGCGAACACGCCACGGAAGTGGACCACTGATCAATTTGACTATAGGTTAAGCTGCCATCCCAGGAGTCAATTGCAATTTTGTCTGGATATTCGCAAGCTCTTTCGGCGACCATCTCTTGCATGCAGAAGCTGTAGGTGGGAGGTAATTTGTGGTTCCACCCCCAGATATCGTTCAGGTCACTTTCAGTCGGGCGAAGACACTGTTCAATGGTCGCTTCGGGATTTGCGAGGCATACTCTGATGGTGTCAGCAAGTGCCTCGACATGGTGGTTCACTGTATATGGCAGCATGTTCTCGGTGTGCCACAATGGGCGGATCTCGAGGTGGGCATTATTGAAGCGAACTTCAAGATGAATTATACCCTTTTCAATTACAGTTAGCTATGAACGAGTGATATCGATTCACATTTTAACTTACCTCATCTTTAGCTTCTTCAGATGTTCGCGAAAGAGAGCTGGTGCTCAAAACCAGTGATGCTGGACTCGACGCCCCTGTGCTGATATTCCGAGAGATCGCAGTTGCAACGTCTCCCACATTACTTTGTAATCCTTTCATTACCTCATTCATCAATAGTTTGTTCACAGACTCAGGCTCAACGCCATTTGCGAAATCTTTGTGCGACCAGTCGTATGATATTTGGCTATCTTCCCGGCTGCGCAACAGCACCATGAGCCAGGACAAGAGCACAATCTCTTCCTTCATTCCGGTCGGAGTGGTGATTTGTTCAGAAGCAAGGTGCGTCATTTGAAATGAGCTGAAGTCGCCATTCGCGTCTGTTGGCTCTTTCTCAATTCCATTTGGCGCATTGTGAACATAGGCATCTTCGAGAGGTATGAAGCCCATTATGACGGCAGACCAGCACAGCTGGTCTTAGTACCCTCGAGTTGATGTGAGGGAGGAATTGGAGCTTGACTATTAAATCCGGAACCTTTGCGCGGGTCGATTTCACGGAAGTGTGTCACTATATAGCCAACTAGCCACGGTTCTGCTGCATCATGCTCCACCTCAAGGCTTGAAAGCTCCGAAGTATCCTGACTGTATTATCCTGCAGGTATTTTGCATATCATCACCGAGATCGGCTATTGCGGGGTGAGTGGATTTTTCGACACAGTCCCGTTCTGAAAGGCAAAATGATACCAAGCCGAAGCATGTGGCCGTTTCATCTTTCCTGCGTTATTTGGACCCATACGTGTACGGGACTACAGATCTCCAAGCTACAAATACTGTATGGTACAAAACGTCTCCACTGGCTCCACATGAGAGAAATGGATGGAAAAAAGCGAGAAATAAAATGCTACGCCAAGGCTGTTTCGATGATGAAGATACCCGGTTCGGTCAGACCATTGCCCACCATCAAGATCAAGACAGAAATGGAAACATTTGCTGTAGGGCAGCGTGGGTATGATCAATCTACGGAGTACTCCATATTCTGACACACATCAATGCCGACTCAAAGCTGACAAGGAATTGTTCCCCGAGGTTTCAGAGGCCAGCTGTTCAGAGGACCCATTATTATGCGTTTCAAGCGGAATAGCCCGATAGAAGCGTGGAACGGGGGGGATTTTTTTATATTCTGTATTCCGAGACCCACCTCTAAGACCGCACGCACACGCATGTCTGTCGTGTACTTTCCGCAATTCACGGAGTAAAATATATAACGTAGAATTGTCCGGTCACAAATATTCGTAATAATAAATAACAAATATCCGCTAGAGCCCTGGCTGGCGCAATAAGCGTGTAACAATGAAAGAAAAATAAAAAAAAGGCCTCACTCTGTTGCGCACGTTCCTTAGTTGATTTCTTGGCTCGCTTGTGGAAATCTTTAAATGGAGTCTTCCAAACGCCACTAAATGGCTTGTGTGGCCTGATACATACATACTTTGGTCTTGATGCCTCATCTCTGATCATAATGAGATGACATATAACGAGCACCCTTTTCAGGAAAAGATCCTCGAATATGAAGTCGGGTAAGGCTGAACACTGAGTAACCAAGAATTCTAAGCAACTCAAAAAAGTCTTGTCCTGAGATGCAGGTGTTAACGGATTTACTCTCGCACTTTGGGTAGAGTTTTCAAAGTGGAGGCAATCTAATCAGATTTTGCCGTCTCCAGCCAATCAATCTAATCAGATCTGATGATCTTACCTATAAGGGCTAGTGCCAGTTAGTCTGCAAGTTTCCCACAGCTTTAGTCTTAACGGTGGAGCTTTATTTTCTTAGCCTTACTAGCCGATACAGCAGATTGATTGTTGTATTTAACCGTTAAAATGAAATACCAGGTACCAGCGTATTCAATCATGCACTAACTAAGGGTTGGTGTGTGATACACGGTATTACCTAAACGGGTATACATACTGAAATACCTGATTCAAGACTTCCATATAATTTCCTTAGAAAGTCTACCCTTTTCCCTCCGTAGCTTTGACCTTGGCACTAAACAATCCCATGGATGTGAGACTTGTTACCTAATATTTCGGCTTGCCTCGGTTTAATCAGATTGATAAGATGACCTGAAAGGGTTCACCCTGTGGATCGAGTTATTCGGTTCACACTAACCGAAACAAATTGTCCACATTCCGTCATGGCGGAAAGACACAAAGCCGGTCTCGGCAATTTGTTAGATTAAAGAAAATACTTCATCTCAGAGGTTCTCTCTAGCTCCTAGAAAGTTTTCCCCTTCAATTAACACCTACACACTACCCCGCCAACACACTTACTCACCATGTCTAAGTTCTGGCCTAAGGGAGGCCTTCCCGGTATTCTGCACCACTACGTAAGTTCCTACATAGTGATCAATGATAACATTCGAATCGCAACTAACAATTGATCGCGCAAACATGTAGACCGAAACTCTCGTCACCTTTGAATATGCCTCTAGCACCGTCCGCCAACCGCACAGTCTCCTCTTCGTAGGAGGACTCGGCGACGGCCTCGCAACAACATCCTACATGGCCGATCTCGCGCGCGCATTACAAAACTCAGAATGGTCACTTTTCACACTAAATCTCACATCCTCGTACCAATCATGGGGTGTTGGACATCTCGACCGTGACACGAACGAGATCGCCCAATGTTTGGAATACATCAAAAGCTACAAGGCCGATAAATTTGGCGGTGGCAAGATCGCCCTGATGGGCCATTCCACGGGCAGCCAGTGTGTCCTGCACTACCTTTCCCAGTCAAACCCCCACACCAAGATCCCTGCCTTCGACGCCGATATCGAACACGTCAAGCGGCCCGTGCTGGACGGCGCCATCATGCAAGCGCCTGTTTCCGATCGTGAAGCGATCTTCTGCGTCTTGAAGGGGGGCATTGGAGATACGACGCCTGAGAAGGCTCGTGCTGTATATGATGAGATGGAGGCGCTAGCAAAGGCGGCTGTTGCTGAGGGAAAGCCTCATGATACTATGCTGCCTCTCTCGTTGACTTCTATGATTTATCCTGCCAATACCCCAATTAGCTGTCGGAGATTCTTGAGTCTTGTTAGTCCTGAGAGTCCCCAGTCGCCTCAAGAGGATGATCTGTTCAGCTCGGATTTGAGCGATGAACACTTTAGGACTACATTTGGTATGATTCAGGAGCGGGGACTACTGAATCATAAGCTCATGGTGTTGATCTCTGGGAAGGATCAATCGATTCCCGATTGGGTTGATAAGGACAAGATGCTGGCTAGGTGGCAGAAGGCGACTGACCATGATGGTAAATATCAGATTTGGGATGAAAAGCACACTGGCATTATTCCTAATGCTTCTCATGCTTTGAGTAATGATGACCAAGCTGAGCCGCGGAAGTGGCTTGTTGAGAGGGTCTTGGGATACCTCAAGACTGCCGTGGAGAGAGCTTGAATTACAAAACGTATAGATTAGAGCAAATATATACCATTTACCATGCTTTTCAACTGTACTAAAGTAGATAAATCTTCAATAGTGGACTGCATTCATCTACATCGTGCCTTCGAATGTGATGGTGGCTATTCCTACTCTCTGTGGCTAAATAAGATCCCATAAGAACACGGATAAAAGAATTGGTATATTAAGCAAGGATTAAAATATAAATCGTATCTATAATTTTCTTCAAGTCGCCACTGTCTGGTGCATGACATTTGCCCGGTAACTGTCGGACCGCTCGAGCAATTCGTCATGAGATCCAGAATCAGTGCATACACCACCGTCAATCAAGAAAATGATATCAGCTTTCCTGATAGTGTGAAGACGATGAGCAATGGCAATGACAGTGATTCCACGTGCGGCCTTCTCCAAACCATCCTGCAAGAGCTTCTCGGACTCAGCATCCAAAGCACTAGTCGATTCATCAAGAATCAGAAGCTTCGGTTTGCGCACGAGAGCACGAGCAATAGACAATCTCTGCTTCTGGCCTCCAGAGAACTGGTTACCACTCGGTCCACAGAGGGTCTGGTAGCCATCCGGCAATGACATAATAACATCGTGGATGTTTGCGAGCTTGCAAGCGTCTTGGATTTCTTCAAGAGTCACATTGTGGCCAGGGCGGGCACCGAGACCAACATTGAACTCAATGCTTCCCTCGAAGAGGACGCTGTCTTGGGGCACCAGGGATATCCAGTCACGGAAGGAGACATCCGAGGTCTTGGTCACATCGACGCCGTCGATCAGGATAGAGCCAGATTCAGGTGTGTACAGGCGTTCAACCAGAGATATGATGGTCGATTTACCGGCGCCACTAGGCCCAACTAGGGCACAGAACTTGCCGGGGCGAATATCAACATTCAGGCCCTTCAGCACCTTGATGTCCGGCCGGGCAGGGTAACAGAAGTGGACATCGCGAAGCTGCACACTCGAGGCCGTGGTGCCAGAGTTGTAGGTGGGTTTCTCTTGGATGGCCTCGACATCCTTGTTGTCGGATGGTGTGAGCCGGGAATCCATCTTGTCCTTGCCGATTTCGATTAGGCCAAGGATTCTGGACATTGCCGATCGCGCAGCAGAAAGTTCAGGTGCGAGTGCGAACATCTGACTCCAAAGCAGGGCACTGACCAGAAGGGAGAAGACAACAATCAGGAACTGGGTCTGGGTGTAGTTACCGTTGATAATCTGCTTGGAACCCCACCAGTATGCCAGTGCATTTACCATGTTACCTAGGAAGTATGTCATGGCTTGCCACAAACTTGCCTGCACGGTAACCATAAATGTCTCCCTGCGAGGTCCTTTCAAGGATCGTCGGTAGGTTTGCAAAGTATTTTCTTCAAGGGAAAGAGAAGCGATTGTCTTGATGGAGGTGACTGCTTCCACACCGATGTCGACAGACTTGGTGTAGGCGTTTTCATGACGCTCCTCGAACTTACCGAGGACCATCAGCTCCATTAGACCAGCTCCGAGAAGAAGTGGGACAAGAGCTAGGCAGACCAAGGCAATTCTCCAGGCAATAATATGAGTCAAAATGATAGCGGCGACAAGGTTAACGGAGATGGAGAACAGGGTGCCAATGACAGATCCGCTTATACCGGCAAGGGCATTACCATCTCTGGTGATATATGATAGAAGAAGGGCAGGTGATCGGCCCTTAGACTGATGCCACTGAAGATCTTGTTCAAATAGTGACCGGAATGATAGGACTCGCACTTTGTAGACGATCTTTTCAGAGACGAGGCCGAATCCTCCCCAGCTGACGATGTTTGCAAAGAACTCGATGATCGCAAGAACGAAAAACATCAGACCGTAGAAGTTACCCCGTTCGCTAATACTGGCTGCACTATGGCAAGGGTTCAAACTTCCGACTGTGTTTCCGAAAATGACGGCCTCGCCGGAGAAAGCTCCTCCGACCAAACTGGAACCGAAAAGAGCAGCAAAAATGACGAGCAAATGGGGCTTGAGAGCTGGTGCGTAGCCCTTGCAAAGAGCCCACACTGATTTAACCGGGGTCTCAAGCTCTTCTTCTTCCTCAGAGTCACCGGCTGGTGCTTCTGTGGTTGAGATGTGGGCTTCCTTTGTGGGTTCAAGGTCAGTTGAAAGACTACCTTTCTCGTTATCGGCATCGGTAATAGAGGTAGCGTCGGACTTGCTGACGTTCTCAATGCTGGTAGTGGTCTCGGTCTTGCTGGATGCGGATGCGGCTCCGAGAGTCTGCAATTTGACCAGCTCAGAGTAAGGTCCGTTCGCAGCCATCAACTCCGAGTGACTTCCCTCCTCCAAAATATCTCCCTTGTGCATACAGACGATCTTGTCCGCATTGGTGATTGTTGACAGGCGATGAGCAATGGTGATGACAGTACGACCGGTTGAGATGTTGTTGATAGCCCGCTGGATACGCTGTTCACTGCGTGAGTCCAGAGCAGCCGTGGCTTCGTCCAAAATTAGAACTGCGGGGTCTTTGATAAGAGCACGGGCAAGAGAGACTCGTTGCTTTTGACCTCCACTGATGAGTCGACCACTAGAGCCAACCATCGTGCCGTAGCCATACTGCAATGCTTCAATAAAGCCATCAGCATCGGCAAGCGCAGCAGCCTGGCGGGCCAATTGAACGATTTCAACGATTTCTGGGCCACGTTTCTCGGCTGCTGCCATAAGATCCTGACCATCTCTGACTTCAGCAGCCAGATCACTGAGGTCGGTTCCTAGGAGTGCTGTCTTCAGGTGTGCATGGGCGGGTTTGCTGGAGTTTACCAAGCCATGTGCGATGTTCTCCAGAAGGGACCGGTCAAGAAGAGAGGGCTCCTGCTGCACAAGACTAAGGAATCCTCTCAGGTCATGGGTGTTGATGTCACGGATATTCTGGCCATCGAAGGTGATCTCACCTTCAGTGGCATCATACAAGCGGATAACTAGACCTGCAATGGTGGACTTTCCACTTCCAGAAAGGCCAACAATGGCTGTATGTTTTTTGGGGGCAATGGAAAGATTGATCTTGTTAAGAACAGTGATCTCGGGCCGGGAAGGGTAAATAAAAGAGACGCCCTTGAATTCAAACCCACCCTCCGCCTGGGTGAGGCGAATGCCCGCATCAGAATGTCCATCAATCAAGGATACACGCTCGATATCATCGCGCAACTTGTGGTAGCAAGCAACAGCTTGTGTAAACAAGTGGATGAAAGGTGCAACTTGACTCAGAAGCAGGGTAGCTGTCGTTAATGTTAGTAGAATATTCCATTGTAAGATATCAACCAAACTGACCCTCAACCAAGACAAAGATAACGGTGAAAACAGATCCGACAGTGGCTCCCGCAGATTCAGTGCGCACTGCTGCAGCGATCTGCTTACTTCCTTGCCAGAATGCAAGACCGTTCGCACCGTATGCGACGAAATATAAGACACCGGCTTGAATACCAGTGGCATTGGCCTTTTTCAATCCTTCGGTTTCCGAGTCTTTCAGTGCCTTGGAGAACTTCTTCTCCAGACGACCGTTCGCACCAAACGCGTGTACCACAACAATATTGTTCAGCGCTTCGGAAGCAATTGATGCAGCGGAAGCAGCATAATCTGACATGCGCCCGGTGTATTTCTCAATATAGTAACTTCCAACAAATGACATGATGAAGTATGCGGGGATCAAGGAAAGCAACATCGCGGCAAGAATGGAGTCTTTGATAAATGCAACAATGTACGCGGTGACGAAAAAGGAAAAGCTCGAGAGACAGATTCCGACCTTCTCAGCTGTTCCGGAGCGGATTGTTTGGATATCAGTGTTGAGTCGAGAAGCAACTTCTCCGGCGGGGAGGTTATCAAAGAAAGAGGGTTCTTGTCGGAGCAGGTTCTGGAGATATCTTTCGCGGAGTCGCTGCGCCAGGCGCGCACCGGTCATCGTCCAGCATAGCAGGTGAAGGTAGATTAAAACGAATTGAGCAATGCCCAGGTACACAATCAGCAGAATTTTGCTGTTCATGTCTGACTGATCCGTGGAGTCCCCTGACGAGGATCCAGACTCCTCGCAGGTCACTGCATTGAAATCATCGATCAGTTGGCCAAAAATGATACCAATGATGGGAAAAGGGACACCCGATCCAATTGCGGACACCAGGCCAACAAAGAGGGTTCCCAATTCGAGTCGCGAGGGATTAGCAGCCACAAGCAGCCTGGGGTAGTCTGCAAGGTTGCCGAAACCCATGGTGACTTGAAAATGGCTTTCAACACTGGGATTGTCGTTGGAGTGTTGAAGAAGCTAAATTCTCTCAAGCGATCAATTTATCGGTCTATTAGCTCGACAGTGGCGTCACCGTGAAAATTGCATCCACTCCTTAGCGTGAATCCATTCGGTGAAGCAACTTTAGCTGTGGGTTGCGACGAAGACCCAAAGAAATATATGCCAAGGTGTATTTCTAGGGGGGTTTCCGGATGTTTAAGATGCCGAACTAATTTTTTCAATCAGCCGACATCGGTTTTTGACAGTTGGATCCAAAAATGCAACCCACATGCACCGCACAGCATGAAGAATTTCAATTATACGGAGAGGGTTATCAGATCAAAGTGGATCCTGTGTACCGAGGGTCTCCACTATTGTCAATACTTGTATGTTTGGGTTGATACAGCTGTATTCTGACATCAAACTCGAATGTGTATTTTACAAGACTATTAAACAAACGCAGTGTATTTAAAGGCGGGAATTTTATGCGCTTTCAATGCTGTTTGCTGGTTGTGGTGGATAAAATGGGAAATATGTAATCACTCGCTTCCAAACTCTACATATCTATGTCCTATTTGATTAGTACTTAGTTTTTACCTTTTAAAGAATACATCAGAATAAATGATGATACTATGTAGTATCTCACAAATCAACTGTGGGAAAATAATAAATTAGGTAAAAATACAATATACAAAGACAAAAAACATTGGAAAAGTGGGTCCCGTCACAACATGCCATTTTCTTTTGTTTTTTAAAAAAACTCCGAAAGATTATCTGATTGATTGGGGGGCAAAGCGGAGTAGACAACGCGTTGCTGCCCCAACAAGGAAGCTAGAGGTAGAGTAACACGAGAAACCTCCACTTGTCTCGGGGATGATGACGGCAAATAAAATAAAAAGACCTCAGGAATATGTCATGAAATTTTGTATGTATGTTGTACATTGAGTTTTGCCGATCTACGTTAAGCAATGTGTCAAAGAAATGTCAAGCAAATTTACAGCTTGGCATTCCACGCGGCACGATCAGCAGATTCCAAAGGCCGCTCACGCCCATCCCAGAATATCGGACACAACTGGAACCACTTTTCGCGACTGCAAATAGAGTGTACCGATCGCTTATGGCCAAGATCGACGTACTTGCCAATTGTCAGTCCCTGCGCGTTCTCGTAGGACAGAATGGTCCCGCCGGTAGCCTTGGGCTCGCCGACAGCATTAACGGTCCGAGGATCGTCCAAGAAGACATAGTGGATGCAGCTCGAGTACCAGGCATTCACGCGGTGTGCACCTCGGAAGCTGGCATCGCCCACGAGGGAGTGGCGGCCGCGATCATAGTCTCCAGCATCGTAGTGGGCGCCGTAATGATCCTCCTGTAAACAAGGTGTTAGTATCAATGCCAAACTATAGCGCGACCGAGTCGGGGAATGTACCTTTGACCAATACAACTCATAGTACGAGAAGCGAGTATCATCGAAGCGTCCAAACAAGCACAATACGTGGGGGTCGAAGTGCAGTTTGCGCAGATATTCAGTGTGCTGTTCGATAGTTCCAGTCTCATTCCAGCCTGCGGCAACACGCGGGTCATTTTGCCACTTGTTGAACAGCTGGACGTGCTCCGAATTTTGCCAGTCAACGACTTCAAGGGAGAAGTGCTCGTTAATCTCTGGGATGTAGCGACTGTAAACAATGGATCCGGGGTGCGGCTTGGGACGACGAGTCGGGTGGCGGGTATATACAGGCTCCTCGGGGAACTTGTTTGTGATTTGATAATTCTCTGGCATGATGGGATACTGAGATAAAGGCTCCCGCATAGGGCCGTCTGTGCCATCTCCCACCACCCAGATGGGACGAGGGCCCATTGGAGAAGCGGCACCTTGCCAGAAGGCGCTTCGGAGGATCAGCAAATCATCGAATTGCAGAGCCTTGTTTTCTCTGTCCCGCAGGTTCCTTGGGTGCTTGATTGCCAACCCGGTGGTAAGAAGCTCATTTTCGATAACTTCTTGCCCTGCGCCGGACAGAGTCAGCCTGAAATACTCGATGGTTGGATGGCCGAGGTAAATGGCATGAACCACGTTCCAAATTTGGCCCAAAGAAGGGGCGCTATTCCCTGACCACTCGAACACAGTCTGGGGGCTGCGACGCGCGCGACCCCAGGGAGTGTTATCTGAGATAGGTGGCTGTTCAGTCTTGGGGAGGAATGTCAAATCAAGCCATGAAAGCGAGTCTGAGTGTAGTTGCTCAGGCAAAGACCGGCCCTTTGCGGGCTGCTCATCAAGTGTCAAGTTGCGCTTAGCCGGTGATCCAGCGACGGTGTTCACACGATATACGGTCAGAAAAGGGTGTGGTAACTTGACCAAAGGATACTGGTGTGATTTTGAGGCCATTGTAGAATTCTCGATCATCAAGGTTAGGATCATGAAAAAGGAATTGGAGTTTTGGGGTAAGAAAAAACAGAGCTCCCCGCCCTACGCAATCAGATTATATGTAGGTGCCCCGAAAAGGCCAAGGATGATCAATTAAGGAGATAGTAACCGAGGCCAAATCTTCACAAGTCTCAAAACATTTTTATTTTTGATACAGAAACCCTAATTGATCGCCCTATGGGACTGTTATTTTTGAAATATTTGCTAGTGTACAATATTTCGTGTATGTAAAAAAATACCGATATCGCCTGATGGAATTCCCGAGGTTCCGTGGAAGCTTTTTCTGCGACCGAGCTCCCTAGAATGGCCATACATAATCCGTTGCCCCCAAAAATAAAACTAACGAATGCTAAAATTCAATTAGTCACAATACTGTGCATATTCTGCTATTCATCATGTCTTTACGATCAGGACCCTTGAATCATGAGAATTTCTATATCTCTTTCCCGCATGAGCGGGTTGTCCAGGTCACAATCAACAGACCGGACAAACTAAATTGTATTGACAAAACTACAAGTCGAGAGATTGCCAAGATCTGGGAGCTATTTGATGAAGACGAAACCTTATGGGTCGCCATAATCACCGGTGTTGGGCGAGCCTTTTGCACAGGGGCTGATCTAGGAGGTGGGTTTCTTCTCTTCTATCACCCAAAATATCAAGGATAAACACTAAAGTGAACAGAATGGAATGCCATGAACAAGGCTGGTGTCGTCAATGACATGTCTGCGCCTGGCTTGGCCGGATTGCCTCGCCGGTCCGGCAAGAAACCGATTATCGCCGCCGTAAACGGCATATGCATGGGTGGAGGCTTCGAGATGGTAGCAAATTGCGATCTTATCTTGGCCTCATCCTCCGCCATTTTCTCCCTTCCGGAAGTGAAGCGCGGGATCGTGCCAGTGGCCGGATGTTTGCCGCGATTAACCCGTACCATTGGATTGCAGCGCACTATGGATCTTGTGCTTACTGGAAGGAACGTGAGCGCCACAACGCTACATGACTGGGGTCTGATCAGTCAAGTGGTGGATCCACCGGCCGATGTTGTCCGAGCAGCAGTCGAAGTTGCCGAAGTCATGTGCAAAAACAGCCCCGATTCCCTTATTGTTGGTCGTCTAGGTGTTCGAATGAGCTGGGAAGCTGGCAGTGTGGAGGATACTGTATCAGATTTGGCAGATCAGTGGTATCCTCGATTGGTTGGGGGTCCTAATTTTGCTGAAGGCATCCAGGCATTTGTGGAGAAGCGGTCACCAAGCTGGAAGAATTCTAAGCTATGAGAGAGAAAAAAAAACTCCACTCACACAACTCCGTAATCAGATTGAGTCGCGCAACGAGTTTCCACCATAATACGACCCGTGCCATGGTTGGTGGGGCATTTAGTTATCTGATTAACTGTAACACGATGTAATTAATATTCTGTAATGTTTCGGTCCAAAACAGAATGCACGTTGGAAACACTTGAAACTAGGAGAAGAGATGTGTATCTACTAAAATATGTAGGGCAATAACTGGAGATAGTACCTTCTTGCCTACGGAAGTCTGCCACTAGTCAGTCTCCTAATAGGATTCTAAACAATGCTAGAAATCTCTGGCTATCATACGTTTCATCGAAATTTGTACAATACCTAAATACGTACAAGCGTATTTATTACAAGCCGCTAGTGCCTATAAAGGAAAAGATGCCAAGACTTGATAATTACCTCAACAGGAAGGCTCTACGAGCTACTTGAAGCGAGAAGTGGTCCTGTCCCCGGTTAACATTGCCTTCCCTGCATATCTCCGGTATCGAACCCATCGTCTAGACAATCTGATTAGATTTTGTCTTCGGAATGTCCCATTCTAGTCGACGCCTCAAGTGGGGGTGACCACACATGGCCTGTGCAAAGGCGCCCTATGGGGGAGGGGAAAAAAACTCGTTTATTAAATTGCCCAGCAAATGATCGTTGCGACTCGCCAAGACTTCTCCTACTGGTTCATTTCCCACGATGTGGCGTACATTAGTATTCCAAGATAGTACGGAGGGCTCCGTATGGAGGACCAAGCTGCCAAGCTCAGTGGTTTTTTTTATCTGGAGCACTAATAACCAGATATTATATTTGCTATAAGGGCAGGGATTCCCCTTTGGTTCTGTGGTTTTTCTGAGTTCCTCCAAATATTTTTATATTTCTAGACCAACGATATGGGCATTTCCAACATTCGATCTGCCTTCCGGCGGTCATCGACCCAGGAATCTGTTACTCAAGTCGCTGTGAGTACTGATGGCGAAAAAAAGAGCGAACTGCCCACCGAAGTTGTTGCTGTACCCAACGAGAACAACCCTGAAGTTCCCACCGAAAATGCACAGCAGGGTGTGAAAGACCTCGAGGCTGTGACTTTGAGCTGGACGAAGGGCATGCTAATTGCTGTCTTTGTAAAGTATGCTCTTGTCTTTTTACCTCGACGGGTGATCAACCCATAAAAGTCAGCTTGTTTACTAACGAGAATTCCCAATAGCATCTGGTTTCTGTACTTCGTCAATGCTATGCAATCCACGATTGGCTACAGTTTGCTCAGCTATGTCACCTCTGACTTTGAAAGCCACTCCCTACTGAGTGTCGTCAGCATTGTCGCAGAAGCCATGACGGCCGCAGTGTACATTCCCACTGCCAAGGCTATGGACGTTTGGGGCCGTGCAGAAGGTTACCTGGTCATGGTTATTTTTGCAACTCTTGGTCTGATCATTATGGCGGCGTGCGAAAACCTTCCCACGTACTGCGCTGCCTGGGTCTTTTACAGAATTGGCTTCGGAGGTATGACATACTGTGTAGATGTCATCACAGCCGACATTTCCAAGCTCAAGAATCGAGGTTTGGCTTACGCTTTCACTGCCTCGCCATACATCATCACAGCGTTCGCTGGCCCCAAGGCTGCTGAGGGCTTCTACGCAGATAACTGGCGATGGGCCTTTGGCGCATTCTCGATCATCTTCCCCATTGTTGCCTCCCCTCTTTTCTTCATATTGAAGTTCAACCTGAGGAAGGCCCATCAGAACGGTCTTGCCGTCAGGGAGCGCAGCGGCCGGACCTTCCTCCAAAGCATTTGGTTCTACATCAAGGAGTTTGATCGTAAGTGAACAGCTTTCCGAAGAATTGGACCTTGCTAACTTGCATAGTGTTTGGTGTTTTGGTGTTCTCTATCGGCCTTACAATCTTCCTCCTCCCATTTAGCATTTCGACTTATGCTCCTAACGGCTGGGCATCAGGCTACATCATTGCCATGATTGTGCTCGGATTTGTTATGCTTGCCGTCTTCCTTGTTTGGGAGTTCCGTTTTGCTCCCGCACCGATGTTCAACTTTAGCCTGTTGACCGATCGAACTATCATTGGTGCATGCTTGCTCGACGCGACATACCAGCTCTCTTACTACTGCTGGAACAACTTCTATACCTCCTTTTTGCAGGTAGTTAACGACCTTAGTATCTCTGAGGCCGGATACGTTAGCAACACTTTCGACGTGGTCTCTGGCTTCCTTTTACTCGGAGTCGGATTCGTCATTCGCAAGACTGGTCGCTTCAAGTGGACTCTCTACATTGCGGTCCCGCTATACATCTTTGCCCAGGGATTGATGATCCATTTCCGTCGTCCCAACCAATCTGTCGGTTACCTTGTCATGTGTCAGATTTTCATCTCCATTGGTGGATCTATCTTCATCATCGTTCAGCAGCTTGCTGTCTTGGCTGCTGCCGACCACCAGCACGTTGCAACTGTTCTTGCTCTGCTGAACGTCGTGGGTACTGTCGGCAACGCTGCCGGTTCTACAATTTCTGGCGCAATCTGGACCAATACATTCTACAAAGCCCTTGAGACGAGACTTCCGGAGTCTGTGATGGGAGACATCGATCTGATCTACGAGAGTCTTGAGCAGCAGCTGTTGTATCCCGTCGGATCCGCCGCGAGACTGGGTATTCAGGAAGCATATGCTTATTCTCAGACAAGAATGCTTGCTGTTGGTACCGGTCTCATGGGTCTGTGCATCTTCTGGACTCTCATGATCCGAGACATCGACCTGAGGAAGGTTGCTCAGGTCAAGGGTACCGTGTTCTAAGGTGCTCGTCTTCGGCTCTAGGAATGATTTTTGACCACGATACTGTCGATGATTCATTTCCTATTATATCCAAAACACGACTAGCTGCCTCGATGCAGCTATCGACCCGCTTTCCTCTCTGTACTTAATCATTTAATTATATTCACATGACGATCTGAATTCAGAATGTTACGGACCAACGTTTCTATTCTTGTAATCTGTAGAGCCCTCTTGGCAACGAGCTTTCATATGTGCCTTCCACGGCTATGTCACAGCTAGCTTGATTATTGCGCCAAGAATCTAGCTTGTTTACTCCGTATACGGAGTACGGAGTACCGCTCTCGAGCTCGGGACTTTGTACGCCAAGAAACTCAGGACCCCGCTCCGAGTTTTCAGCGACCGGCAGCTCGCTTGCTGTTTATTTCCCTTTAGCGCGAGAACAGCAGTATGGTATGTAATGATGTAATATGGTACTCAGGTAAATTACTGAAATATACCGCTAGAAAGCACGTAATTTATGTATGAAACAAATTTATCATATCGTTCTCCAACAATACCATACGTATGTACTATATGTATAGTACATCCTATTCTGAAGCCCGTTGTCATTCGAACCCCGGGGCCTCTAGCCAGATCCACGTAAGACTAGAGCCCATCCACTCTAAGGTGGAACCGGGGACCAAAAGGATCTGATAACTTTTTTTGGCAGGTGCACCTTGGCTGTTTTTGCGCGGAATCCGAGAAAATTCCTTTCCTTTCGGCTCAAACCGGCCAAATTACACATAGCTTAACATCTCGATCCACTGTGTCTCATTTAGCAAGCAATAATAGTCAGACAGCCAGATTCAGAGCGATCTCAAAGGAACATGTCCCACTATGGAACAACAAGCCGAGCTTCGACTACGTTGCTGGGTGGATATGGCCACGTGCTCAGGTCCCGCTGGATGATCCTCCTGTTCATTTTCCTAGAAATGGGCCGGATGGTATCGAGTCTGAAAATTTATCTGATCATCTGATTAGATTGGCCTCCTGGTCTAGGTTCTTTTAGCGCAATGTGGCGCTTTTATCTGATCCGAAGGACTTGGTGGATAGCAAGAAACACGACCCGCCAAACCGCAGCCCATGGTCCCCTGTGGATGTCCGCGTTCGGCGGCTTCATCTCAAGGCATTTCGTTACGTACTTAAAAAGCAGAAAACTGGTAACATTCTCTTGACTGCTTGGCGGAAAGAATAATAGGTTTGCTGGATGAATCTACGGATTATTCCGAAATGAGCTAGGCATCAGGTAGCAGTCGGTATGATGCCTAGTACGCTGTGGGAATCAGGCTGGGCAGCTCGTTTGAACGAGCTGAAGTTCGGGGGTAACCACTTTCCCGGGCCGCATGTTGACTATTTTACACAGTGTTGTTCTCCTCGTATCAACTTGACGGCTGACGAGTCTCCCATTGGAGCTGCTGTTGGCACTCTGTCCTAGGCTTGCTTGCATATTTCTCTAACTCATAGGATATAATTGAGGAGACATCGGAGAAATTGATATAGGCCATAATCTCTTGCTGATATATTTCTCTCTTTGCCTTGCCCCATGGATCCATGGATGTGATTGTCACGTGTGATCCTAAAGCCCTCAAATGTTGATATCGTTGTTGGGAGGAAAGCACAGATGCATATATTTAGCCACCATAGTAGGCCATGCGACACCATACATGCCATTTTGTGGTAGATAAACACGTATGCAGCGCAAGTAGCTACAGTGACTTGGAAAGTTGTAGTGTCTGATGAAGAGATCGAACCAACTTTCCGTTCCTATTGAGAATACAGAGAGAGATGAAGATGGAGGATAGATATGTATGTGAAATATATGGAGTGACAGATCTATATATATCCCGCCACTGCCTTGTTGCGCAGAAGGCTGCTGCCACTTTGCGGGCTACGCAAGCACCATGGCGATATATTGAACGATCTATTTTTGTTTCCTGGTGCTAGGAACTCTGCCAGTGGGTGTATGATTTAGCTTTGGCTTAGGCCTGCGTGGTGTGACGGATGAGTGGTGAGAAGTGTAGCTAGGGCTTGGTGGGGGGAGAAGAGGAAGACTACAACCATCTCGATTTTTCTTCGCTTTCTAATTATCTTTGCATAAATTCTTCTGTGCTGTGCAGGAATCTAGCACTGCCTTGATTGACTGAAGGATGGGCAAAAAAAAAAGGGGGGGTGGGGGGAAACGAGATTCAGCTGTGTTCTATGTCGGGTTCGGAGTGTAATCAATCGCAAATTGAAGCAAAGAAAAATTAGAAAGTAAATACATCTAATGGAGCTCAACTACGCCGCGGCAGATGAATCTGGTATAAAGTGAGGCTAGGTAGCTTAGGGGATAGAAAAATTGCTCTAAAGAGCAGGGAAGTCCGTATAATAAGTGATGGAAATACAGCATTTCCATAGTTCAAGTGTATAGTTACATTCATGAAATCATAAATCTTCCATTTTGGTATCTAGTCATAAAACGGAAACGCGCCGGTCCTTTATATACGTGTGGCAATTCTATCAGCTATTTTCGCAAGTGCAAAGCTAGCTTATTGCTTATCGGGGAAGCCAAAGTTGATTCCGAACGGAGGGTAGACAAAGCGCTGGAGCTTGCCCTCGGCCTGGAGCCCATCACTATACTTGCGAAGGGCAGCCATATCCTCGGCGTCCAGGTGGATCAAGTCGGCACGGTTGGCCTCGATACGGGCAGGGGTGACGGACTTGGCCAGGACTGAAGAGCCACGGGCAACTAGAATAATCAGTCAGTATGCTGTATCCGGCCTAGGGTACGGAGCGTTGAGGAATACTTACTGTGCCAGCTGAGCAAAACAGTAGCCGGAGTAACTCCGCGCTTCTCGGCGACGGCCACGATGGGCTCAGCAGTGAACAGCGGGCTGCCGGTGCTGCCCAGTGGGCTATAAGCGGTGATGTGGATGCCAGCCTTATTGCAGAAGTCGACAATCTCCTGCTGGGGCAGCAAGGGGTGGTTCTCAATCTGGTTGGCGGCGGGGACAATGGTAGCCTGGGGCAGGAGTTCCTCGAGGTATTTGACACTGTAGTTGGAAACACCGATGGCCTTGACCTTGCCGGTACCAACGAGCTTTTCCATACTCTTCCAGGTAGTTACGTGGGAGTGACTGTGAATAATATCTCGCGAGCCATCAGCAAGCTTAGGGAAGATGTTGTGGTTTCCTGCGGTGGAAATGGTTAGCGCCTCGAATTTGCATACTTGAAGTAACTTAACTCACCCTTGGGGTTCATTGCCAGAGGCCAGTGCATCAGATAAAGGTCAACATAGTCGAGTCCAAGATCTTTCAGACTCTGCTCGAGGCCCTCCTCAACACGGGCGTGGTAGGAGCACCACAGCTTGGTGGTAACGAAAAGATCCTCGCGCTTGATAATTCCGTTGTCAATGGCCTCCTTGATACCCTGGCCAACTTCGTTCTCATTGCCGTAGCAAAGAGCAGCGTCAATGTGACGGTAGCCCACCTTGATGGCGTGGAATACGGCGCGCGCAACCTCGCCAGGTTGGGATTGCCATGTTCCCAGGCCGAGCGCGGGGATCTCGGCGCCAGTGTTGAGCTTAAAACGGGTATCGCAGGCAGCCATTGTGAATTTATAGGGTATCAAAAGATAAAGAAGATTATTTAAAATATAGAACAAGGATAAATAGGAAGATTAAATATAAAAGAAATAAAGAAATATCCATAGAGGGGGATGTTTACAAAGCATCAACCCCCACGCGGGGCTATTCCCCTCCCAAGCCCTGGAGGAAGTCGGCCTTTTTTCCATCAATCACCTCCGAGACTTTTGGTAATATCTTTCTAGGACGTTCGATGTTCAATACAATATTCTTCTAGACATATTCTCTTAGGAGTTTCTACATTACCTCCGTCATCTCAATTAAAAAAAAAGTGAACATTAACCGTCAGCCCAATATGCAAAGACAAGAATTAGCAGATGAGCGGAAACCGTCTTCCAGTTCGAATAATTTCACTCCACTTGACATCACAGCCACTCCACATGGTCAGTTCGGGGTCGTGGGGTCCCTGTGGCTGCCAATCACCGTCCTCCTTTTGGAGATCAACCCAGAGATTCATCGGCGCGGAAGCCAGAATCCGTGATGTTTCACGATTTTTCGTCCCGCGTACATCAACGTACAAAATGATGGCAAATCAGGCAAATGGGACTAGGGAGAATCCTCAAGCAACCGCTGACATCGGAAATCTACACGCGATATTCCAAGGAGCCTCGACCCTATATATACACTGAACGCCCTGGGGTTGATTTCCGACTCCAGACTTTCACGATTTGAAAATCACAATTATACTTGGCAAATTTTGAGCCTCGATCTTATATTTTATAAAAAAATCAAGGGACGCTACTCCTCAACACAAGTTAAAATGGCACCAGTCGCCATCTCCCCACAGGCTTCCCCTGCCTTCAAGAAGCGGGATGGACAGGCACTCGAAGAACTCTCGGACGCTATTGACGAAGTCAATGTTCTCAAAGACATGAAGAAGCGCGAGGCTGAAAAGAAAGAGGCCAAAGAGAAGGGTTTATATGAAGAGTCTGAGTTCGACAAGGAGAAAGACAAGACCAATTTCCGCCAGTACGAAGACGCCAGCGACCGAGTCAAGAACTTCTACAAGGAACAGCACACCAAGCAAACCGTCGCATACAACTTGAAGGCCCGTCATGACTTCCACAGCAAGACGCGCGCCGAGATGACCGTCTGGGAGGCCATGGAAAAACTCAACACCCTGATCGACGAGTCAGACCCCGACACCAGCCTTTCTCAGATCGAACATCTACTGCAATCTGCCGAGGCCATTCGCCGCGATGGCAAGCCCCGCTGGATGCAGCTTACCGGTCTGATCCACGACCTGGGCAAGCTCCTCTTTTTCTTCGATGCCGAAGGCCAATGGGACGTTGTTGGCGACACGTTCCCCGTCGGCTGTAGCTTCGACGAGAAAATCATTTACGGCCGCGACTCATTCCGC